ATATGGGAATCAACTTTTAGTCCATAATTTGGGAAGATCTCATTCTGTTTTTCGTCAATATCTTTTGTTGTTCTTGACTTGAACTAACCATTATGGTTTTCATCACATTTATAGACAAGTTCTTCCAAACAATCAAGAAGAGCTAGTATTTCTTCATTGGCCGAAATTCTAGAATCTTTCTTGTACCCACCCACCACTTTATCACTAATAACATCCATACCTATACAATTCAAAATCCTAAATAATAATAATAATAAAAGAAAAAAAAAAAGAAACTAAAGCAAGGAAATATGGAACAAAAAAATCTCAACATCCCAAAACAATTAAGAAAAAGAAAAAAAAAACTATAATGACATATTCATAGTATCAGTCATTATAGATGAAAATATTATGTTGGTAACTAGAATTTTATTTAACCAAAAATAGTACAAGATGGTTAATGAAAATTCTATTATCAAAAGGAAAATAATGCATAATTGTCTAGAACAATAATTACAAAAGTATAAACATAATTGCTAACACTAACCAAACATAAAAATTAATTAATCAAAGTCATTACAAATCTAAAGTCTAGCAAAAACACTACAGAGTAGATATGATGCCTATTATTCATTCATTTATTATACATCTCTTAAGCCAAATTGTCTGTCCAAGTGTTCCACTCATTGGTTGATTCAACAGAAACAATATTTTGTATTGGTTCCATCTAAACACTTGATTCAAGTTGGTCCAATAAGTGTTCAAAAGGATCATAAGGCATTTCTCTTCTAAGGAAGTTGTGTAAAATAAGTAAGGATTTTCCGAGTCTGAGTTTTAATAAGTTAAAATGATAGATGTCTAAGAATTGCCCAATGCATTTTTAGTAAACCAAATGCCCTCGTAATTGAATTCCTTACTTTTGCATGTTACAAGTTAAACAACTCTCAAGGATTTGAAGGTGTGAAACTTAGCTTCTATTCACTCAAATGGTACTTTATGCCTTTATATGGTGTAACAAATCTTAGTTTATTTGTACAGCCAACATCAACAAGATAATAGAATATTATCTCAACATGAACTAATTTTTCAATAAAAATAATGAAAAAGAACCAATTTATTACCAATAGAAACTTTTAGTCCATTCTACTCTTAACAATTGCATCATGCAAAACCCTAGAATCTGATGCAGACCCTTCACATCCAAGCAACACAAAAACAAACTGCAAGTTTCTTAAACAGACACCTAATACATTTGTTGTTATGTATCATTTCCAATTTTGGTATCTTGAATTATTAATTAATGGAACTCTTACTTTAATGTGTCTTCCATTTAGCGCCCCAAGACAATTCTAAAAACATAAAAGAAAAGAGAGAGAGAGAGAGAGAGAGAGAGAGAGAGAGAGAACATTAAAGATTTCCTTATTGATAATGTAAAATTAGTTAATTATTAAATTATTTGAAAACACTAAATATAACTTATACTATTTCCATTTTCTATTGGTACATCCTTCAAGAACAATGTTATTAATAGTGAATAGCGGTAAATAGTGAGAAGGTCAAAATCCACTATGATAGCATAGCGGCTAGCGGATAGCAAAGAAAAAATTTTAAAAAATATAAATATGATTAAAAATTGATTACCTGCTAATAAAAAGGCTTAAAATAACCTAATAAAAATTAACAAAAATAAGATAATATTTCAAGCACATCACATGATAAAACTCCTATGGAAAAAGTTTAAAAATTTAGAACTCTCATAACATAACAAGATTAAAAAATATAAATACTGAGTCATTGATAGTTTCAATACATGAAAATTAAAGTATATCATCAAATCTAATAATCCAAATCACTCCCTTCAGCTTCCATTTCCTCTTCCTAAGCCTCATAATCATCATTATCATCAACTTGGCCTTTTTCACCTTTACCATTGGCACTTGTCTCAAACTCCTCTTCCTCATCTGACTTTTCAAATTTTAAATTAGCTACTTCTTCAACAACTATAGATCTAGAGGTTGTAATTGGAGTTCTAGAGGTTGGAGTTGGGATTGCATTTTTTCTTACTTGCCCTTAGTATAAGTTCTAATTTCTGTTGCTCCTGATGCCCTTTCAACATCTCCCCATGTCAAATTTTCATTTGGAAAGATTAAATCCTTTTTAACATCTTCATTGTTGTCCTTGTCCATCTCTCCAATCAACCACTCATTGTCATAATCAGCATTACTTAAACTAATGAAGTCAATCTCATCTCTTAAATCATATCGAGCTTTGAGTGCTTGATTGTATTTTATAAAAATCAAGTCATGCATCTTTTGGTGCTCAAGTCTATTTCTTTTCTTAGAATGAATATGAAAATGCAAAAAAAAAAAAAAAAAAAAATTGTAACTATTTTTTTCTATAGAAAATCAGTTTTGAAGCATTCATTGACTAACAATTAATAAGATTAAAGGCTTACTTGCTAAAAAACACTCCAATTACGCTCACACCTGGATGACTGCATGTCAAGCTCAAAATCTTAATGGCAAATTTTGCAAATTTGGAGCTGAATGCCCAAACAATGTTTACCATTCAACTACAAATTCAAATGTAAAATTATGATTAGTATTTAAAATATTTAATTTAAATACTAACAAGAAATTTAAAATTCAAAAGTATCTTACAAGCCCTTGATATAATTGCCAACTCTTCACCAAAACGGCCTTGACCTCTATTATAAATTGCCACCTCCTCATATATTTTGAGTAGCATCTCCATATCAGATTCCATCTTGTTAACACATTCCATCAATCCATCCGTAAGTCTCAAGTCTAATCCATGTTTGGAGTGCCATAAACGGTTGCCGGGTTTAAGTAATAAACTGTTGCATGCAAAGGGCGATAAAGTTGGCATTCCCATCTTCTATCAATGATATCAAGAACTTCATTGTATTTGCTTGCATCCTCATTTAGTGATCTCTTGATGCCATCATTTGCTTTGCCCATTACCTCATAAATATAAGGCATAGCCAGTTTCTTTTCACTATCAACAAGTCGCAAAATACTAACAAGGGGGCCTATAACTTTAAGAGCATACAATACACCATTCTGAAATGTAGCAGCCATCACAGCATGCATTGCTTTTACTCCTTTGAAGTCTTTAGCCAACTTAGAGTTCACCCAATCATCAGACATAAACATTTTTCTAATATTAGTTTTGTGCTTATACACACTTTGTAATGAAAGAAATGTGGTAGCAAACCTTGTCACCCTGTGTCTAACCAACTCAATGTTATTAGTGAATTGCCTCATCAAATTTAGGGTACTTGAGTGGTTGTAGATGAATCCAACAAGACTCATTGCTCTTTGTATTGTTCGCTTCACTTTTGAAATTTTTCCAATATCTTCTAGCATAAAATCAATGCAATATGCAACACATGGAGTCCAAAATATATGCTTTCTCTTTTCCTCCAATAATTTACCTATAACCAAAATCAGAATTAATTTACCTATAAAAAAATATCAAAATACCAAAAAAAAAAAAAAGGAAAGCAGAATGAATAAATCGAAAAAGTGAATGATTTCACAAAGAAAAAAAAATCAAACTACCAAAAATGAAAAAGAACTGAAAAGAAAGAAAAAAGGGAAATCAAAATGAATGAATTGAAAAATTGAATGATTTCATTTCACAAAGGAAAAGAACTAAATGACTTACCGGCTACAACATAATTGCTTCCATCATCTGTAACAAGTTGAATAACATTTTTTGCTTCAATCTCTTCCACTACACCATCAATCAACTCAAACAATTTTTCTCCAATTTTTACAAAAGAGGAAGCATCAATGGACTTAATAAACATTGTACCAACAGGAGAATTGACCAAGAAATTAATGATGCTCCTTTGTTTCCTATCTGTCCAACTATCAGACATACGAGTAACCTCATATCTTATCCACTGACTCTTATGGTATTCCAACAGCTTCTCTGTGTGCTCTAACTCCTTGTTAAGGCAAGAAACCCTCAGTTCAAGATAACTAGCAGGTCGAAGATTTGGGGGCATATTACCCAATTGCTTCTACCATTTTCTTGAAGCTTGTTGAATGGGCCACATTGAATGCAATCCCATTTTCATAAAAGAATCGGACAATATATTGAATTGTCAATGGCCTCATTTCTTTGACATACTCTTTCATATTTAATTGCTTACCCTTGTCATTTTTCAACTTTCTCTTTTCAAGAACAACTTTTGGCTTTTGATACATAAATAAGTCCATCGGCCCTTTAGCTCCTCCGGTTGTCTTAGCCTTCTTGTTCTTAGACCCTCCAATGGATAAAGTAGAACCAACAAATCCTCTTGGCAATTCTCGTAATTCAACTTCCTTTTCATCATCACCAAAACCAAATTCATCATCAAAACTATTGCCACTAGACATCATATCCTTCTTTAAATTTTTCTTTTGAAGGTTTGCAAATAATTCATCCCTAACCATTTGTGGGCAACCAGGACAAGCTGCCACATCTCCCTTAATCCCTATTTGATGTCGCTTTGCTCTAGTTATCCCACCAATTGTAACTTTATTGCAAAAGTTACACATCACGCGACTTGTATTATTAAGGTCTACTAATTTGTGGTATTTCCACCCAATATCTTCTTTTGATTTCTTTGATTTTGAGGAGGTGCTTATGGATCCACTTCCACTTGCCATGTCTGTAAATCCATGAAAAAAATAATAAACCAAATGATGTAAGAAGAGTCATCAAATATAAAAGAACAAATTAATTGAAAAAAAAAAAAAAAACCAATCTGGAATGAACATGGATGTGGATGTAGGAAAAAAATAAAATCAGCAAAAAAACAAAGATTGCTTCAGAGAGTCATCTGAGTATCAGACATCAAATTAAATTTGTTGATAGTTTAACATACATACAAGTTAACATATTAAATGATGTAAGGTGACTCATCAAATAAGATAACAAATTAATTAAAAAAAAAAGAGAGTATGGAACTGGAACAAGAAAAAGAAAAATAGAGTCTGGAACTAGAATAAGAAAAAGACAAAACAGAGTCTGGAACTGGAACACCAAGAAAAAGAAAAAAAAACAGAGTCTAGATTCTAGAACCAGAACAAGAAGAAAAGAAAAACAGAGTATAGATCTAGAACTAGAACAAGAAAAAAAATAGCAAAAAAAAAAAAAGAGATTGCTTCGAACTTTTAGGGAAAATTTTGGGGAACAATCAACAATGAAAGATGAAAATCAGAATAAGTAAATTGGAAAAAAAAAAAGAAAGAAAGAAATAAAGAAAGAAAGAGAGATGGATTCAACCGAAGTTACTGTCCCCAACAAATAAATGTGGAAAAAAAAAAAGAAAAAGAAAGACAGATGGAATCAATCGAACAAATAAATGAAGGAACAAAAAGAGAGAAAGATGGATTCATATTTTAGATTTAGAAATTAAAACTTATTAAAAAAGAAGAGAAGAAACAAATTTAAAAAAGAAGAAAAAAAAAGGAAAAAGAGTTTAATACCTGAGCAAAGGTTGATTGAGCCACCCAAAATCTAAGCTATGTGATCGTCGATCACTCAGAGAAGGTAGGTTGTTGCCGGTGACTAATTTTATAAGTGACTGGTTCAGCTTCTTTGAGAAGAAGAGCAAGAGATTGGGTCGACTGTAAAGGGAGCACAAGATGCGTGTAGCGAAGAAAGAATAGGGTTTTGTTTCTATTTAGGGTTAAAAAGGATTTTTATTGTTTTTTTAATATAATGTAAGCTAAAAGACCATTATACCCTTAAAAAAAGGATCTGACATTGAACTCTCTTATATTTTTTTGGACTTTTCACTAAATGTTTCAATAGCGTTAATAGCAACCGCTATCCGCTATAGAAAAAGCAACCGCTATAGCGGCCAAGACGATCGCTATTGTAAATCTGCTATGCTACAGGCATAGCTATAGCGACTATGCTTTGGCTCGCTATGCTATGGCCACTATTGACAACACTGTTCAAGAATAGGTTATAACATTGAAATTAAGGACTTATTATATCTTATGACAACATTCAAAACTTTATTAACGTAACTACTACAGTTTTCCTTGATCAAATAAAGTCAAGTTTAATGACTTAATTCTTCTTATCATGCCCTAAAATGTATAGGAACATCACAAGTTGTTTCTTGACTAAAATTTAACCACTATTCTTTAACTTACCGTTAGTGTAATGAAGATCACAAGTTTATTAAATACAACCCTATTCATTCTAAGTTGATCTACACAAGTGAAGTCACCACAATTAACCAATTTGCCTATGCATTGTATCATTGAGTAAAAATTTAAAGATTCATCTTTAGAACAATCATTGTCACTATCATTTTCTATGTAATGCCGTGCAACATCACAAAGCAACCCAAAAGATGGAACTACCACTCTAACCCACTACAAGTATGATTGTTCCATAGTTAAAACAACCATAAACACTTGAAAAAGAATATGTATCCTTTTGTTATCCATTTCTATAGTGAAAACATATTTAACATAAATGTCATAAATTGAAAATTCTCATTAGAAATCCACATGCTAGAATTAAAGTATATTAATTAATGTTGTTCTTAGACTACTATATAAAAGAAGTTAGACTAGAGGCAATGTAAAACATTAAAAAAAAAATGGAAATTTGAAGTTAGTACTCTATACTTTGTCCATGAGCAATTTATTGAGGTATGTTTAAACCATTTGATTGTTCTTTATCAAAGGACATTGACAAATTGTCTCTCATTCTTACCT